TGAATCAATGCAAGGTAAGACACTTTAACTTTTAAAAGCGTGTTTGTTTCCAAAAACAGTTAAATTAAGTTTGATAATTAATTTTTCGTTACCAATCGAGTTGGCCTATTTGCAGAATGAAATTGTGAATTATTATGTTGCAGTTAGCTGTTTTGTTCTCTTATTTATTTTCAGAATCAACTCATTGTGTCTATTAATACTGTATTTGGTCATATTGTAGTTATTTTTTAATGCATGAATACATGAATCTTGAGTATATGAATTCCTTGAAATGAACTAAATATACTTAATTTTTTAGAATGTCATTTACCGAAAACATTGGTAATTGTTGTGGAAAAATGCAAAGTGATTTTTCAAATTCTCATAAAGACAGTTCTGTTGAAACAATGCCTTTTTTGATTTTTGACAAAGATTTTATGCTTCCAAATTACACAATTGTTTTCAATGAGGAAATTTCCCCAACGCATGAAGCACCCACAAGTGGGATTAGAGTCTCCAGTCAAGCTCTTGTGCCAAGTCAGGATCCTCGAATACTTTGCAGAATAGTTAATAGTTTCCTATTGATAAACAATGACATAAGCGATTATAACGCTCCCTTGGTCCCATATTCTGAGCACTCAGACTCTGAATCTATCTGATGGTGATGAAAGAGGGACAAAAAAGTCAAATGGCGAAAAAGATGTCAGGCAGACAGATCAACATGGAAAAATCAGAAAAATTTTGCCAATCGAGATAAGGGACAAAAAATTTTTGGTTGCAAAAGAATAGACAATAAAGTAATAAATCACTGATGTGCCTAAAAGTGCAAAAAGGCTGAAACCAAGGTGTAAATGCGCATCAAACAAAAAATCTGCCTTTTAATGTTTGGTTATTTTAGACACAGATCGAACGGAAATCTTCATTCGGAAGATGACTTGGAGAGAAAAGAAGTATGTTGATAGTCTCGCCAAATGCTTTCCTACCAAAAGACCGAGAGACAGAAAGGGTGCTTTAAAATCTAAAAGATTTAGCACAATTGAGTATTATTTAAGGAAAGAAGAAAAATTGGACAGAGTTTTTAAGACAATGTTTTTAAACACTCTGTGTATTGGAAAATCATCCGTGTAGGGTTGGAAACAACCTAGGTCAATTGTCAATCAAACAGTATCATTGGTCGAATTACCGAAGGCTAGAGAGAACCCATTTTATAAAGAAGTAGCTTCACTCAAAGATTTTTTCGAAAGTTTGCCAAAATGCAATCGTACTACTGTCGCAGATCAACTTCTAAGAAATATATTTTACCCGAATGGTCTACAAAAAAAATCTTTTTATGATTTTTATGTGTTTAAATGATGTTTATCAAACAACATTGCCTATTTGTCTCTAACAAAATTCAATAACACCATGGAAACTAAAAATATTGCTCTATTCCACCGTAAAAACGATTTAGATGAAAAATGTTTATCACACAAGCTTGGCTTTATATCAGACCTAGACCACAACCAACATATACAAATAAAAAATGAAGCACGAATTGAAAAACAGAAAGACAAAGAACATGAAAAACTTGCTTTTACAGTTGATGTACAACCAGTTTTACTTGCGCCCAAGTCAAATATTTTTTCTCTGTATTATAAAACAAAGTTATGTGTTCATAACTTTTGTTCATTTGATTTTACAACAAAAGCCGGATACTGTTACTTGTGGAATGAAATTGAGGGAGGACTAAATGCTGAAGAACATGCAACACAGTGTGAAAATTCATTATCCAGAATCTTCTCCCCAGACTCAACAGACAAAACAATATTAAATTGAATTTATATAGTAATGGTTGCATGTCACAAATAGAAATTCAGTGCTGTCTAATGTTTTGATGAATATAGCTATTTCAAAGCAAACAAACATAAAAGAGGTTGGGCATACCCCAATTGGAGGCCGACTTAATGTATGCGTGTATAGAGAAAAAACTAAAAAATAAAGTTATTAATGTACCTGTAGAATACTATGAAATTTGTAGAAGTGCTAGGAAAAAACCAGAACCCAATGATGTTTCTTACCTGGCGCATTTTTTAAATTATTTGACTCGATCAAATTTTAAAAATCGATAAGACCTGGAAAAATGAAAGAGGGCTCTAAGGTATTGTTTTATCAAATATTTACATTTTTTTTTAAGTCATTGGATTTTTTTCACTCAAAGGTATTTAGATTTAACACTAACAGAAAATATTTTTTGAGGTAACTGACATGGCTTACAGTATAACATGGATGACAACCTAACATTTACAGATGAGTGGCTGTTGCTAACGCAGCGTCCTGACAAGCTTATTACTACTAAGGATATTGAACAGTTGCCTAATCTGTACTCCGAAAGATTGAAAATTAAAAACAGGAAATTTCAAGAACTCAAGGATTTGAAAACAATAAATCTTACTTACACTTCAAAAATGTTTGTTTTATTCCTGCATAATTTTTTTTTGTATCTCAAACCATTTTCTAGAATTCAAAATAAAAAAACTTCATCATTAATGTTATAACAACAATTGTTAAAGTTACTATAGAAAATCAGCCAAGTCCTAAAATAATTAAAAATTTGGTTATTAAAGTGAGCCAACTCTAATTATTTCTCCTAAGTAATTAATTAAATATCCATAAAAATTCATAGTAAACTTATTTCTGAATTAATAATAGAAACTTTTGATATCATTTCGTTCTCAATAGCATCCCACCAATTTATTGATGTAATCTATCTTGACTTTGCCAAAGCGTTTGATTCTGTATCTCACAACAGACTTTTGTTAAAATTAAGATCTTTCGGAATAAACGGCAAACTCTGGATTGCTTTCTGCCCACTAAAATGGATTAAATCCTTTTTAGTGGGCAGAAAGCAACGCGTTACAATTAACAATACCAACTCTGCATGGGTTGATGTTCTCAGTGGTGTTCCTCAAGGTTCTGTTCTCGGCCCGCTCCTCTTCATTCTCTACACAAATGATCTTGCAAAACTCACTGAAACTTCTGAGATATTTGCCGATGATACTAAACTTTTTTCTAAAACCTTATCGCAATCTAATTTTGTTGATCTGCAGAATCGTCTACGCTTGGTATACGAGTGGTCAAACACTTGGTTACTTAAGTTAAACATCTCAAAATGCTGCGTCATTCATTACGGTCGAAACATCCCCCATTACAATTACTTTCTGCAAAATAACCAAGGAATCAACCAATGTCTAAGAAGCTCTACTAAAGAACGTGATTTAGGAGTCATTTTTACATCTAACCTCAAGTGGAGCGCTCATATTCAAACAGTTGTCTCTAAGTCCTTACAAATTCTTAGTATGCTGAAAAAGACATTCACTTTCATTGATGAAAAAATGGCTCTCAAATTATATATAGTATTTATAAGATCACATCTTGAATATGGAGTGTCCATTTGGGCTCTTTATTTAAAAGCTGATATGGCTTTGGTTGAATCTGTTCAACGCAAAGCAACAAAATAGGCTTACAGCTTGATGCATCTTCAATACTGCGAAAGGCTTAAAAGATTAAATCTACCATCACTTGAGTTTCGACGCCTTCGATGCGATTTAATCCAAATTTTTAAATTAATACATCGTTTAGATATAGTTAATGATAAATATCTACCAAAATATATTAACTCCATGTCTCGTGGTCACCATTCTAAAATAAGGCGTGAGTGTGTTCCAAACTGTCTTCCAAAATATAACCATTTGTATAATAGATCAGCAAAATACTGGAACGAACTACCAGAGCAAATAACTTTGTACTCCACTGTACTTTCCTTCAAAAATAGACTAGACTCCTGGTTGTGGAATAAGTTTGGAACAAATATTTATAAAACTGGTTGTTTATAGTGGGGTGTTTTCCCTGCTCGCTGTATGTGTACTTTCTATGTAAATTTACGGCTACAACTATAATAATAATAATAACATAATCTAATTATTCAGTTTTTTGTTGTTCCTGAACATTTCATACAAATGGAGTTGGCTGGTTTGCGGATTAAGCCACCGATATGCAAGATTGAGTAATAAATTTTTTTTTTGAAGACAAATTTTAGTTTTGTAAATTACTTTAAACCTTTAATTTTCATTAACTTTTTAATTAATGATCATTTATTAATTAATGCGTTTATCAATAATAAAAATAAAAAAATAATAATAAATTAAACTATTTACAGTAAACTCCCGTTTAGTCAAACCTTGTTGGGGAATAAAAATTTTTAAATAAATAAAAATCCTCATTTTAAATTACCTTGAAATTTTCACAGCACTGCTCTAACCAATCAAATTAACGATTAAAAAAATTCAAATAATATTATAAAACAAATTAACAATACTTTTATATAAGTTATCACAAGTTATAACATGAGGATTGCGATCACTTTACTGTGAAGATAAGTAGACAGGATGAAATATGTAAAAAGTAGACAGGATGAAATATATAAACTGCATATGTAATGCATGCATAAACTGATTGACATTCAAATTTGAAACGTTTTTTTTTAGTAAAATTTCCAAAGTTGGTTAAGTGATACTCTCAGATTTTCAATACAAGTTAGGGTGAGAATAAAAGGGTGGGTGTGAAGTTTTGTCCAGATCTAATAAACGGTGGGTGTCTTAATAAATGGTAGGGCGGGAATGTTTATTTTTATCAGTAAATTTAAATTTTCTATTTTTTAAGGCCGGGTTACACTGAAAGTTTTTTTTTCTTTTCAGTTTTGAGATACTGTTTCTATGATGATGAGTAAAAATAAATAATAAAAAAGGAAGGAGTGGGGGTATCTTAATAAACTCAGAGTGAGTGGAAAAATTTTCTAAAAGTTAATAAGCATGTATTAAGCACCTGAGAGTAGAACAATAAATTATAAGAGAGTAAAAAAAAAGTCTCTCTCTCTCTATATATATATATATACATACATATATACATATATGTATATAAATAGAGTGACACATACATACAGTAGTAAAATAATTTTAAGCATTACATAAACAAAAAACCCAAAAACCTAAAATAAAAATTTATAAAAAAATACAAAAAATTATAAATCTAATATCTTCATGTTAAGAAAACGATCCAATGTTGATAACTTTAAATGCGATAGAGAAATATTTTTTGTAAAAATGCCTGACTTCGTTTCACTTTGCAGCCGAGAAAATTGACAATTTTTAATTTAAAATTGTTGCATAAGTGGTACATCACTGATAACTGATAAAATGATGCAAAAGTCATGAAAAAATACAAAAATTATATAAAAATAAATCGAACGCGTATTTCTCATTTTAATCATGCATTTCTAGAATCAACAAACATTTAACCCAAGTTTTCGTTTGTTTCTCGATACAATGATCTCAGTTTATTTTTATGAAAGAGCTCTTCTTCATCATCTGATCCCACGTCTTTTAAATTAATATTTATGTCACCATTAACAAACGTAGATGAAGTGTAAACAGATTGTTGAATGTCTCTAGATGTTTGTGGTGATAAATGTGAAGAATCTTCATCATCGTCGTTGTTAGAAAGCAACAAGCCTGTATTTTCAGAATTTCGGGATCTTGATGTTAGGTAAGTACAACCGTTACCCAGACTAAAAGTTAAAACAAATTTCAAAAATAATTTTTTTACTTACATGATTTTGTATAAAGTTACTGATATATTTAAAAAAATTCATATTTTTGATAAACAAAACAATAAAATTTATAAATATTGGTAAAAAGAAAAAGTTTGACTTTAAAAAATGTTGTGTTTTAGTAGCAAATCACTTATTACCGAGATTTACATGAGCTGCTGTGAAGAGCTTGAACGAAGAGGGAATTCTAAACCATCGCCCACACTAAATAAAATGACTGAGGTCTAGAAATATACTTTAACCTAAGTCAATTTAAATGTGTTACTATATGTTAATCGGATCTGTTATAAAAACTATTTTATTTAATTATTTCATCATTATAATAATTAAAATGTGAAAACTTTTTAATAATTACTAAAGTAATACATAAATATTAAGATCGTATTATTCTTAAGAATTAAAAATAAAAACCTTTAAAATCTTTTAATTGAATAATTAAAAAAATGAAATAAAATTTGATCTCAAATCAAGAGCATCATATTAGTTGCCACCAAATAAGGTTCCATACTAAAATTTTTTTTTTAAATAAACATAGAAAATGTTATTAGTAGGTTTAACTTTAAACAGCACTGATCAATAGTTAAAAAAATTTTTGTATCTTTGATTTTTTGTTTCTTTTATATGTATATCAATGCAGTTACTACAAAAATGTCTTTTAAAAAAAACTTGTTGTAGTATTGAAAATATTGGTAAACATTATTTTTCTTATATTTCACAAAGTTTAAAAGCCTTAATTGACAATGTTTAAATAGAACTTAAATACAATTAAAGACATTTTTAGGTACCTGCACAATAGTTTTATGAATAATTCTAATGATAAAGTACATGTATTTGGCTGAAATATAAGTCTTCTGTATCACACTGTTCTTTTTTTCTTTTGGCTATCACTTATACTCTACATCTGAGGTATCTCTTACCACAGTCCAGCAATGGTCTGCTAACATCGCAGGAATCCATTTTGCTTGATACTTATTTTCTATCATCACTATGTCCTGATAAAATATTTTACCATGTACATTACTAACTGCACCAGAGTAATCAGGGAAAAGACACTAATGAGAATGCAGAAAAATAATTTTCAATTACGTGTTGCAGCCTAATTTCTGGCAGGCTAGGATAAGTCTTTAAAGTAAAAGTCCTTCATGAATACTTGCTTTCTTGTTTCTTTAAAAATTGTCAATTACAAGTTTGAAGGATTTTCGACCATTTGTCTCCAAACCACAGAGGATATATATATATATATATATATATATATATATATATATATATATATATATATATATATATATATATATATATATATATATATATATATATATATATATATATATATATATATATATATATATATATATATATATATATATATATATATATATATATATATAAATGTTTTTATATATATATATATATATATATATATATATATATATATATATATATATATATATATATATAAATGTTAATATATATATATATAAATATTAATTCCATTTTTTTTTTATAAAATTTTATAATAAAAATTTTTTATTTTGGAAATTTAAATTATCTTTTAACTATCATTTATGTGACATTTATTCAGAAAGTGTAAAGTCATAAAAAAAGCATTTAACCACAGTTGTTAATTTTTTTGTTAAAGAAAAATATTTAGAAGTCTTTTTATTGAAAAAATGTATATATTTTATATAAATTTTCTTAAATAAAAAAACTGAATTTAATAACATTTAAAAATGTAAATTTAGGTTTAAAGGAATGTAAAATCCTGCATTCCTATGATGTTATGTTTAAAAATGACTTTATGGTCTTGATTAGAATTTAGTAGTTTTTCATTGAATGAATTTTAGCCAAATTTCATTGAATTGGCGATTTTTTGCCGCAAGAGCAAAGTGCCTGCCAAATCATCAATTTTTTCAAAAACTTATCAGTCATTACATACTTGTATTTATCACTCACATTTCCTCTTATTTTAGAAGCATAGTAGCACTGCCCAGGAATTTGGCTAAAATCCATTTTAACATAAGTTTCGTCATTCATCAAAATGCATCCATTATGTTTTGTTAACAAGTTGCCATACAACTTTCGAGCTCGACTCTTTGCGGTTGAATTTTGTTTATCGTTGCGATTTGGCATTTTAACTACTTTAAAACTTTGATATCCAAGTCTGTGTCACCATTTGTGTACAAAAAAATTGGAAACCTTCAGTTTTTTCGCTTGAAATCTATCAGACCAATTAGGATGTTCTTCCAATGAAGTCTCCAACTGTTCGAGAGCTCTAGGATTTGCTGTGCGTTTTTTTCGATCACTTCCTTGTTTTCTCTGAATAGTTTTCTGTTCTGTAAACCGTTTAAGAACAGTATCTACAGTTCTTCTTGATATTTTTAATGATTTCGCCAACTTTCTATTCGATAAAGTTGGATTTTTTAAGTGTTTGTCCACAATCAAAAATCTTTATTTAGTTTGCTTGGTTGACATTTTGAAACTAAATAATATTTTTAATTATTTTTTTCTGCCAGAATGTTCTATTATACAAACGCTACCTCACACAAAAAAATAATTTCAAAAAACGACCGTTAATTAGCTTTACCACACCGCAAAAGGTGGGCAGATTTTTCCGATAGCATGGGTTAAGTGGTCTAAAATTGGAGTAAGAAAATGGAGTAATGACAATTTTATTATAAAGGATACAGCTTTATTATACAAGTTTCATTTAAAAATGAAAATATTTAATTATCAATAAATATTAGCTGAAAAACTCTAAAAAAGGAAGCATCTATTTTTTTATATTTTATCTATCTATTTTTTAATTTAAAAAGTAAATTGATCTAAAGAAAAGGCTTCTCCTAAGAAGAGAAAACTTCTTGAAAACTTTGAAAACATTTCTAAAAATGAAGACATTAAGATTAATAACAAAGTACAGTTAATTGACTTTGAGGTTGACAGAAGTAAAACACAAATACAACATGAAATAGATTTATTGGAAAAAGAGATGACAAACAAAAATTAATATCTAAAATGCACTTTTTAGAATCTCAAAATAAAACAATAAAAAATCAATTAAACCAATATAAAAGAAAATATATTCATAGTTACAAAAATATGTCAACAGATAAAAAATTGTTTAAAAATTATACTGGCTTATCAAAAAACAAAATCAAAATAAATTAATATTATTTATTTGACTATTAACTTCATTACTTGTGGTAGTTAATGTAAAAATCATTTAACTTTGTAACTAATTCAAAAAAAAAAAAAAAACTGATCGTCAAAAGGTGTTCTTTTAAGTGCGACTCCCTTAAATGTATGTTCACAACTAAGTCACAAAACTGGGCACTTAACCCCATTACCATTTGTACTTGAGTATAATAACCAGTGGGATGATTTTTTGACAATATGGTTCACGATTGTCTAATCCAATATAAAAGTCATTGTCACACAAACCTTCTGAGATAGATAAGTTTTATTTTTGTTTTGGGACATTAATTGTTAATTATGCTGTAATAATATTCTTCTGAAATATTATGATTTAATCTTTTTTTTAAAACTTTAATTTTAAAATTTCCCTTGAGCATGTGGTTCATAATTATGAATATAGTCTAAAAATTCTTCTAAAATTTTTGGAAAATCAACAGTTTTTTGGGGGTTAATTAACTGCTAAACAAGAATTCCAAATTTTCTTTTGCAAATATAAATTTTATAAAAAGTACTTGATGCTAAATCATATTTTCTTAGATTAAACCAAAGTGGATTTTCATTTTGTTATCAGTTTCATACTTTCTACTTTGCTCAGAAGATTTATTAACAACAAAATATCTTCTTGTTTCTTATCAAGTTGCGTGGTACATAACAATGATTATTATCATTAAAGCCAAGAGGTAAAAAAGAAAGGATATTGGAAACATCAAATGAAATTGCTGGAAGTTTGTTAATATTGGTAAAAAACTCAAAGGTTTCATTTACCTGAAGTTGATAAGATAAAAGAGAAGCAGTTGGTAATGATGAATGAATTTCAAAATGACATTTCAGTAGAGCTGAAGATGTCAGGTACACAATAAATAATACCATTATATTTATTTAAAATTATTTATTTGATTTCAAAATGCAAATACTTTCTTTTAAATTTTTTTCTTTATATTTTATTCGTCTTGAATCATATAAAGTAGTCTCCATGCTTGAATTTGTGAACATTTGTAAACATAGAATTTTTAATTTTTTTTATTTTATACTTAGAATGCCCTAATGCCTTGATCTACTTGTGCATGCAATCTCTTCAGGTACTCAAGTAAATTTAAAGAATAATCTGCAAGTTCAAATAATAATGCCATCACATGACACTATTTCCTACAGGGCATTTCCTGTATTAAGGGTATAAGAAGTATAAATACTATCAGCTGATATATATCATTCAGATTTAAATCTTTTTTCTTTTTCAAAAGTTTTTTTTATGGCCATGTTTTTGATTTTAGCACTTTTTTTCTGTGGTTTTCTATATCTTTAATAGTGAACTGTGGCAAGTATTTTAAACTTTTACCCCATACCAAAGTTTTATCTGAAGACTTCAAATCCACTGAAATGTTGATATTTCTATTAGTTTCTAAAAAAATTTCATATTTTTGTAAACCTTTCATAACTTCATATACTCAAGAATTCATATTTTAAACTATTTGTTATTCACAGTTTATCATTGCCCAAGCACATTACATCATTTTAAAGCATTATATCATTGGAATGCGGGTTGCATCAATTTAGTTTCAAAAAATGTAAAATAGTTTTGAAATTTTTGATAAAGGAATTTTTTTTCTTATCATCTGCTAATTCATTACGTAAAACATTCATCTCTTCATTGAAGAAATGTATCAAATCACATAAAAGCTTTTTTTTTTTTATAAAAAAAAGAAAGAATTTTTTTTAAGAAAATTGTTCACAAATGTTTTTAAAATTTTGTGTTTCTTATTAATTCAATATCACGTAAGTTCTTTTGACTTATTTATGAACATAAACTATGTTTACAAATATCTTATTGGTAACTAAAATCTATCTATAAATTGTTTATAATCTTTATTAAAAATATTATATAAATACATAAAAAAAAGTTGTGATAAAGAAACAAAAGATTATGTTAAGAATAAGGTTTTTTTAAGAAATAAATTATAAGGAAATTTATATTTTTTTAAATACAGAACTTAAATTTCACCAGTAATTTTTGTTATATTATTTTTAATGATTTTAACACATTTAAAATTAAATTTAATTATGTGGTACTTTAAAATATGATAATGACACAATTTAACTTTAAGCAATGCAGATATCAAAGCTGTGTTAAAGTTACATATATTAGCATTAAGGATTTTTGTTATGCAATTAAATCTTATAACAAGGCCTGATAAACATAATTTATGTTCAATCATGGCATGGATCTTATTTTCAGTGACATTTTTCGATGCTGCTATCCATTTCTGCTTCAAATTTTTTGTCATCTTTTGCTGATTTGGCTGAAATATTTTTTACAATCACCCAGTAACTCTCGATCATGCAATGCTCAGAGCAGTTTGAAGGATTCACATCTTTTGGATCAATATCATGGTTGTACCATTTCATGTGGGATGATGTCATTTTGGTTGTACCACTTCATTGTCTTATTAGAGTCGTAGATTGTTGCCAAATCTGGCTAAAAGATAACTCCCTTGATGTGTTTGTTAATAAATGGCAAAAGATGTTTCTGAAGACATTCAGTAATGTATAAACCAGAAGGCAAAGTCTTTCAAGTGATGAATGGAGCACTCTTAAGGCCACAAGAGTAAATCGTTTGCCACAGGATGAACTGCGGTACAAACTTTTTAGTCCTGAATATACTTAAATTTGTCCCTGACATAGACACTTTTTGGATGATAATATTAATTGATAGCCAGGCAACTGTAAGAAATCCTTTTTGCAGTTTGTTTCGTTATCCTCAATAATGCACAAATTTTCTTGGTTAAAAAGTTTGACAAGCTACCTTGCATGACAAATTGGTTTTAATTCTCCATTTCTCCATCACTTTAAAGTTTTTTTCTTGGTGTAAGCTTTCAAACTCTTGCTCTTTAGTGCTTTTCCGACAAGGAAACAACTGGATTCAAACTTTTTCACAAGATCGCTTTGTGAAAAAGTTTGAATCCAGTTGTTAATTTGAATTTGGAATTGGCATGGATTTCTTGTAATTGACTGGATAATAGAATTTACTTTGTTTTTGTCAACAAAACTTTTTATATTTCCACTGTTCATTTTTCTTTCGATACTTTGATTTTTCTTGTATCACCTAAATATGTCTTCTACCAAAGATTTAGCAACTTTTGACAATTTTGCAATTTTTGAATGTGAGGTTGGATTTTGAAAGAATAATTCCAAAACCTTTTTTAACTATTCAATTGTTTACTTGTTTTGAACTGATAAGCTGATAGTATTAGTAAAACACCAATACAATTAAATTTATGTTTATAGAAATTCATTATAAAAAAATTTGGAATTAATTTGTTAAGTATTTCTTGAGTCATTGGGATTATACTAAGCATATCCAGTCAGAAAGTTCTGAGCCCAACCAATATCTGTGGACCAGTAAACACACTTTTCATTATTTTGGTCTCACTCAGCTTTTGGAATTTCTTTTTGAGATAATTGAAAACTTGACCATCCCAGATTATTGCCTTTACAAAACTCTTTATATGTTTTAACTTTATATGTAATTGTGCAACTACACCTTCTTGGGGTCTACTAGTGGGATGTGCTGCACACATTTTATTTCTAGATCCAGAGACTCTGGAAGAGCCATACTTTTGTTTTTTTATGGTCGATGTGTTCTATTATCCCACTCATATAAAAAAAGAAGCAAATTTTAGTGTGTCCCAGTTCCATTTCCAACAAGATGGCAATTACTTTTAAATTCGCAGAGATAAATAGCAGCCAATGTAGTTACTAAAGTCAAGAAGTAGCTGGATTTTGACATAAAAATCTTTTATGCGAACAGCATATCCCACAGGAACTAATGATAGTTCATTCCCAATATGTAACATCATAGCTTTGAAGTACCAATAAAGATTCTCCACTCTTCAGGTTTGTACTCAATATTGAGTGAATTCATTAGTTCTTTGATATCATGGCAGAATACAAGATCATTTTTCAAACTAAAGAACTGAGCTAAGTCCTTGTGGTGTTCATTTACAAATTCAGGTCTTTTTCTACAGCACAGCAAAACTGGTTATAATTGGCTGATTTCATCAGCAATACATTTTGATTGTTAAAAAAACTAGCAAATATCCATTAAAATGTCATCATATTGTTTCACATAATGTACAAAAAATAAAGTGCTACAAAAAAAATGTTTAAAAAAATTTCATTTAAAACATATTAAAACCTACGTTGTAAAAATGGGAAAAAACCATTTCCATGTAGTATTTCCAAAAACTTGTCGAATGTTGTTCATAGTCCCAATATTAAATCCATCTTTATCTGCTCCATAATGAAACAATGGAGCACGAAAAGATTCTAAAAAAGTATTTAAAAAAAACAAACATCTTCTTAAAATCTATAATATATTTTTAAATCTAACTAACAGGCTTGGACAGAAATGGCGCGCGATTGCACATTGAACTGACCACGCTTAAAAATTTTTTCCTTTACAATTTGACCAAGCTGTTTTGATGTTTTAGCAATTTAAATGCAATAAAAAAATTGCTACATTCTGAATAAATTTTAATTGTCTAAAGTTTTTATTTTAGGCAAAGGTTTTTAAAAGATTAAACACTAATTATAATGATTGTTCAAAATAAAAGCATTTTGTGTAAATTAAATGTTATATCTAAATTTTTTTTAAGTAAAAATGTATTTTATATGATAAATTTAAACATTTGAAACATTTTTTTATTTTTCCATGTCTTTCTAAAAATCTTTTAAAAGATTATTTTTTTAAGTTCAAATTTTGAAAAAGTTAAATTAAATCTTCCCATTGCAAATTTTGTAATATTATTAAAACTAAAAAAATAAACACACCAAGTTATATCTTCTAAAAAATAGAAACAATTACAGTTCAAAAAGTTCCCAAAATTATGACTTAAAAAGACAAGCATCAAATTGTTTCTTCCTCACTCACTATACCGTATTTCACTACGATCTGGTACCAAAAACTTTCATAGTTTTAAGGGAAAAAAGACTGAATAAATGGATAAGACTTTAAAAAAATTAAAAAACAAAAAATAAGTTACTGTCCAAAACTGAATGAAATATTTGAGAGACGACAGAGCCACATACATGGTAAACAAAACTGCATAGAACAAAAATAAAATAAAATATTTGCTATTTCCCCATCCAATACAATTCCCATTGGAATGATTTAATTGTGCTATTTTTTTTTTTTTTTTTTTTTGTTTCTATTTTTACAAAGAATTGTTGAAAAGCTTTTTTTTTTGTTAAACTTAACTCCCTAATCAGAACATGAAATGATTAAAGATTACTTTTTTAAAAAGACTACATTATGTTTTTAAACAATTTTTTTTTGCAATTTTTTAAAAACAATGTTTATACAATTTAAAAATATAATTTTTTTTTTCTTCAATAATTTAATTTCACTTTTGAATAATTTAAATAAAATTTGTTAATTATTCAAACAATCTCAATTTTTCTTTTCATTTTCAATCTTTAGAGGTAATTTGTAAAAGCGTTTTGTGTAACTTTAATAAAACGTTTCAAAAGATAAGTTTTAAAATAATTTATTTCAAATGCAATTAAAAACATAACAAAAAGTAATTTTCGCTTTGAGCTTGAGTTTTTTGAGTTTTATTTTAAAGCTTATATACTTTCTTTTTCAAAAGGAATTGTTTTTTTTTTTCCTTTAGTTTTTTTAATTTTTTTCCTAATTTAAGTTAAGCTTCGCATTTCTTTTTTTAGCACATTTTTGAAATGTTTCAATCATTAAAACACGACTGTTTAAATGTTTCGATGTGTTTTGATGTCAAGTTGTTAATAAAAAAAATCATTTGCGTGGTCAGCAATAGCATTTGATCGCATGCCATTCCTGTCCAAGCTTGAACTAACATACCTAAAGTTGTTCGATTCTTAGATAACAAAAACAAATGAAAACCAAAAAGTGACCACAAACTAACTGAAAACATAGCAGAAACAAAGAAAAGAAATAAAATATGAAGGTCGCTATTTGACTTTTTGCTACTGTGAGCCTAAAAAATAACAAAATAAAATTTTTTCTTTAAACCATTTTGAATTTAATATCATTTAATTTATTAAATGTTTATTACAACTACTGCTAATGATAAATCAAAAATGAAAAGCTGCAGTTAAACAGTGCAGTTAATTGGTGCAACTGCAGTTAAATGGTGATAAATCAATCATAATTTGAAAATCAAAAACATTAAAAATAACATTTAAAAATAACAGACAAAAATAAATAAATAAACAAGATTATAAACAATAAATAAACAAAATAGACTACAAATAAATAAAAAAGTTGTATCAAAAATGAATTATAAATATCCAAAAATAGCAAAAAGAATGTAACTATAAACAGGTGTCTGCAAGTGAATATTGAGATAAGTATATTAGAGAAGCATTTATAACAGGAATAAGAGATATTAGGTCATACACAAAGCATCTGACAGCAACTAGAAAAAAGAGGTTTTGTCTGGATGAAATGTTTTTGAAAACTAAAACCATTAAGTCTACATAGAAAAATCCATAACCTTTACTATTACCCAAGTATTCTACTGGTCAAAAACACACACACACACTATGAAAAAAAAAAAATTATGCAAGAAACTGTGTAGTGTTTGTATGCACTGTCAGCGTGGAAAATAAGGAATTGAAGGCCAACGGTCAATTTGACTAGCCAACTCAAGGAATTGACAGTCAAGTTTTTTTTGGATGGTCAAAGTTTTTTTTGGATGGTCAAAATTTTTTCTTTTTTCTTTGTTTAAATCTTAGTAATCTTAGCAACGCACAGTGTTCTATTTTGTGTTTCAACGCACAGTGTTCTATTTTGTGTTTCAACGCACAGTGTTCTATTTTGTGTTTCAACGCACAGTGTTCTATTTTGTGTTTCAACGCACAGTGTTCTATTTTGTGTTTCAACGCACAGTGTTCTATTTTGTGTTTCAACGCACAGTGTTCTATTTTGCTGGCAGTACTTTATTCAAAAATCAAAAGTTAATGAAAATAAAATCTATGCATGTATTTCAGTTCCTAAATGTTCAAAGCATCTAAAAATAATAAGATACTAAGAAAAACAATAATGCCTTAGCTGAGTCAGTGATCAGAATTTGTTTATTTTATGAAGTAGATATATTAACTATTTTTTCAGTCTTATTAGAGTGCGTGCTCAAGCTATACGTATTGATATTTCCTAAATTTTTTTTATACTTTTTTTACCTATAGTTTGAAGTAATGGATTCTGAAATTAATTTAATTCATTTTTAAGGATTTTATCTTATTTTTACTCAGATAGTGTTTTTAACATTATTTTTTAAATTCTATGAAGCTTTTAAAAAATATACCCCATTTCTCCTCAATAAACTAAATAAATTCTTGTAGAATAATGTTTTCTCAATATGATGTATAAAATTCATCTGCAAATATTTGCAATTTTAGACTTTATGTCTGTTTTATCACAGAAAGTGACAAAATTACCAATGAAAAATTATACAATTTGTGGAGAACTACTAAATTAACTGAGCGAATTAATGTAATTTGTGAATATATTTTGAAAAGTTGGAAAGTAGATAGTATTTCTGATTTAGAAAAACAGAATCTGAAAAATCAAATTTCATTTTTTTCTATTAAATTAAAGCAGAAATGGGAGCAAGCTCATCGCAGCCATGCATATTTTGTTCGGAAATATGCGAGTGGGCTGAAGCTGGTTTTTGAAAGAAAATATTTTTCAGAAGAAGATCTAGAAGCTAGTAGTTCTTCTGTTGCTGGCTGTCCATCAAAAGCTTTTGAGGAATGCTCCTTTAAAGTGCAGAAGCGCAAAGCTAAAAAATTACTTGAAGATAAAACTCCCGAGGAAATTTTGCTAGCCGCCGAATTAGCAGTTAGAGCTGAAGGAAAATGAGATACGGCAAATTTATTTAAAGAATTATCAAGCACCTCACCGGAACCTGCAACAAAAATTAAGAAAGCCCGAATAAGTATTGAAAATAAGGTGGAACTTATGCAACCCAAAAGGGCAATTGCAATGATAATTAATAACAAATTATCTACCCATCAATATAAAAATATAAGAAAAGAAGCTAATGCATCAGGGCATCGAGTGTATCCATCATATAACAAGGTTTTAAAAGAAAAATATAAAAGTAACCCCTCGGAAAATGGTATCACTGTGAGCGATATAAGTGCCGAAGTTACACTCCAAGATTTACTGGATTTGACGGCAAGATTGTGCCTATTACAGAAAGAAGTATTACTTTCTGTTGCTGAGAAAAACGAAAAGTTAAATTTGATTTGCAAATGGGAGATCCAATCAAAGCAGATACAAACAACTTTCAGCACAGAAGGTTAACGATGAAAATTTATTTTCAATTGCGCTTGTACCTCTTAGATTATTAATGAGCTCCAATACCATTATTTGGAAAAATCCAAGACCAAGTTCAATGAGATATTGCCGTATTATTCCTTTTTCGTTTAAAAAAGAAACAAACGATGTGATAAAAGAAGAGACTAGATATATAGAAGACCAAATATCAAAATTGGTACCCACAATTATAGATAGAGACGATGTACAGTTTGAAATAAATTTTAAATTGTTGTTAACAATGATAGATGGTAAAGTATGTAACTCGCTAAGCGAAAATAGTTCAACACAAATGTGTTACATATGTGGTGCCAAACCAAAAGAGATGTTACAAGAAAAGCTCACATCTTAACAAGACAAAGAGAAAATGTATTCCTTCGGTATATCCCCACTCCATTGTTGGATTCGCTGTTTAGAGTTCATTTTACATTTATCCTATAAATTATGCATAAAAAAATGGCAAGCTAGAACGCAAGAAGAAAAGGAAAGTGAGAGAAAACAACTAATTCAAAGATTATTTTGAGGATAAACTTGGGTTATTTGTTGATAAACCCAAACAAACATTCGGTACAACAAATGACAGCAATACTGCTAGAAGATTTTTTGAAAATCCCCATATAACATCAGAAATCACCGGAGTAAATGAGGAATTAATACATAGATTCAAAATTATTCTTCATACTTTAGGCAGTGGATTCCAAATAAATTCAGAAAAATTTCATCAATATGCAAATGAGACTAAATATTTATACCAATCTATGTACCCATCGTATTACTTGCCAGCAAGTATTCATAAAATATTAATACATGGGAGAGATATCATTTCTACATGCATTCTTCCTTTGGGAGAATTATCAGAAGAAGATATATTAAATAGATTTATTTTGTATTCTGATCCAATTTTGTCCAACTATTACTTATCACCTCGAAAAAATTCAAAAACTTTTCATCCGGATACAAACTGTTAATTTGTGACGAAATCGGGCATTCTGAAAATAGTGACAGTGATATGAGTGATTCTGATTAAACAATTTATTATTTTAGTTTTGTTTATAAACTTGTTTAGGTAATAAAAATATTTCAATAAACAATCTTAAATCTATTGAAGTTAAATAAACAAAGTGTTAAATTTCAACTCATTGATATTACTATATTGAGTAAGTTTTTAAAATATTATTATTATGTAAATATTGGCTTTGCATGTAATTTTTAATAATTTTATATCTATTTTATATAAAATTGCAGCTAAAGGTATTTTTATAGAAAAAATAATAAATTTAAGACAAATAATCAATGAAGTAATACACAAAATAATTAAGTTCTGCTAGATTCGCGAAATAGAACACTATGCAACGGGTCATTAAAGCGAAAAGATGTTAAAACGAATATACTTTGTTCTTTTATAATATAATATAGTCTGGTTTTTATCTTTTTTTTTAAATGTTGCTTTTGAAAATTTTTTAAAATTTAAATTACTAAATAAATATTTTATCAACAATTTAATATTATTAATTTTAATACTTTCAAGTTTATTTAAATATATAAAAAAAATAGTTTTTATTAAAGAATTATTCTAATAGTTAAAGTTTGCTAATAGAAACCAGTAACTTTTTTTTTTTTTTTGCTTTAATGACCCTGAACCATTCTTTATGACTAAACTTTATTAATCCAAAAAAAACTCAAGGCTTGAAGGAATATTGCTTGAAAAATAAAAAATTGTTTTAATAATAACAATTTTAAATAAAATCAGTGCTTTTTTTTAAAAGCGCAAACTTAAATTTATTTAAAAATAATTCATTTCATTGCAATAACTATGCAAATGGTGGGAAAAGCCAAGCGAAAAATAATAGAAAAGATTAAATGAAAAAAAAGCACAATTGAGATTATGTTCTTAATTACATATAATAATTTCGAATAATAATCTCTGAAATTTCGAAATAAGTCTCTGAAGTTAAAGAAGAAAAACTTTCGCACATTTTATATCTCTTCCTCATTAAAAACATATCAAAAACCTCTAACGTTAATTAGTTAATAATGTTACTAACTCTTCTTTGCAACTTAAACTGTTTAAACTGAATGTTAAATACTTTAAATATTTTCAAACATTCGTCTTCTTTGTATGAAACAATTTGTTTAATGAAACATTTTGTTTGATGAAACAAATTTTAAAATAACAAATAATTTTTTTAATAAAACGCTATAAAAATTATTTAATTTACATAAAACGAGATTTTTAATAAATCTATTAATATATTTTTTAACAATCCTGTTACAAAAAAAAAAAAGCGCAGCGCTCAGTTAGTAATTTTTAATTTATCAATAAACCATTCATTTATTTATTTACAATTTGCTGCAAAACGAGAAAATAAATTATAAGAAATATATAACAAATTAAGTGCAGATGAAAGAAAAACTGCTCATAGCTTAAAACATAATTTATTTTATATTATTATATTAATAACAAATTAAAACATAAAATTTTTATATTAAAGTAGTAATAGTAGTAATAAAATAAGAACTTCAATCATTTAAGGAAAAAGGATATTTACTAAAAACTTATGATTATAGTTTAGGTTCTTACATATACGTTACGTAAGTCTTAAGCAATACATTTGTCAACAAAGAGAATTAATGAGTTTAAGGTTGTTAAAGCAGAAAAATTACTGGTTTCTATTAAAATGCAATAATTAATTAGATAAAAGTTTTAACAACGATAAATTTTATATATACTCGAATATATTATAAGTAGCGGAATTAATAATATTAAATTATTAATAAATTATTAACTTTTAATTATTGAATTATATTGATATAAATTATTATTCAGTTTTTAATTTCAATTTTTTGAATTATATTTATAAAAAATAAATTTATTTAAATGTTTTGAAAACAAAGATAAAAACCAGGCAGTATTTAAAATAAAAAAATTAAAGAAAAAATTCGCTTAAACTTCTATTCGCCTTCAAACTTTTCGCTTTAACGACCCATTAGCAATTAAAGTAGCATATCATAAACAAGAAAACTATTTAAAACCCTTTTTCAAAATTGAAATAGCTTATCAAAATTTTATTATATGCATTTTCCAAATAACATCCTGATTTTTTGTCAAACCTTGTTTTGAATCTCTAATTTTTTATTTTAACCAGTCATCCATGACCGGCAAGAATTCATTTTGGGAGGTCAAAATAGCATTTTTATTCATTTCAGGCAATCATTGACCGTTGACCGGACGTTATTTTCCACGCTGCACTGTATATGATATTTCAAATTTTCGAAAACCGAATCTTGCACAGAAAATATAGGTAATAGTTGAGATGGAAAGGCTTTCTGTTTTATTGTTCTTTTGTTCAGTTTTTTTATAAATACTTCTAAGTTCATTTTGCTTGTCTAATTATCTAAAATATTTGTCGCTCTTGACAATATCGTTGATTATTTTTATGTATTCATTAATTTATATATTGTTTATAAAAATTTAATATGGAAAAGTGAATCAATAAACATACTAAACAAATTAAGAACAAAAATCAGTGTGCAAGTTTTTCAGCTATTCAACAAACATTTATGTAAACTCATTAAAAAAATACTATTGAAGCAGTTTAAAAACAAGGGAAAAAGTTGGTCTTTAAATTTATTTAAAAAATGCTATTAAAGCAGTTAAAAAAAAGAAGAGAAAAAGTTATTCTGTAAACTTATTTGAAAAAAATTAGATACTATATTTAGTCAATTTCAAAATAAATTAATTAATTATGGATTGATGGTCAAGGCATATTTTATGCTGACAGTGATAATATTTTGAAAATCAGAATTTGAATTTACAGTTAAAATGCCATACAAATATTTCTATACATCAACCAGAAGCTACTTCATATGTTTCAAAATTTGCTGTTAGCAAATTTTGTAATATTATTAAAACTACAAAGATAAACACACCAAGTTATATCTTCTAAAAAACAGAAACAATTACAGTTCAAAAAGTTCCCAAAATTATGACTTAAAAAGACAAGCATCAAATTGTTTCTTCCTCACTCACTATAAGTTGTGAAGGATCTGGTACCAACAACTTTTATAGTTTTAAGAAAAAAAAGACTGAATAAATAGATAAGGCTTTAAAAAAATTAAAAAACAAAAAATAACTCACTGTCCAAAATTGAATGAAATATTTGAGAGATGACAGAGCCACATACATGGTAAACAAAATTGCATAGAACAAAAATAAAATAAAATATTTATAATTTCCCCATCCAATGCAATTGTTCACCCAGGGACAATGGTGATCCATCTTCAATATACACCTATTGAAACAAAAATTAAAAAAAAAAGAATTGATAATCTTTCTTTGTTTAAAGTAATGTTAAAAAAATTTCATGTTATTTGAATATAAAAATTCTGAAAGTAAAAAACTAAAAGTTTAAAAATATATTAAGTAATCAATCAATAAATAAAAAAACTTAATGAAGAAATCTTTATTAGTTTTTAATTATAACAGTATAAAAAGTAATAAAAATTAAATTAATAACTAAATAATAATAATAATAATAATAATAATAATAATAATAATAGCAACAATAATAATAATAATATATATATATATACATATATATATATATATATATATATATATATATATATATATATATATATATATATATATATATATATATATATATATATATATATATATACATATATATATATATATATATATGATATATATATATATATATATATATATATATATATATATATATATATATATATATATATATATATATATATATATATTAGTGTGATGCTAAAAACAACTTTTTTGAAAATGTCTTCTGACAACCCCTAAATGTGTTGTATATAATAAAATAATACTGGATTTAAATATTTTTTGAATCCAAAATATTTTGAGGAGCGCCACCCTTAAAGATCAAACAGGTCACTAATATTATCAAAAAAAAAGAAGTACTTTTTCAAAAGTATGTCATGTTGGGTCTTAAATAAATCAAAATTATTTATAAGTTCCAAAAATGTAAATCAATTTATAAATGAATTATTTATTTTATAGATTTTAGTATATATACTTTAACTTTAGTATATAGAAAATTTTTTTTTTTTTAATTTAAAAAGAAAAAAGGGAATTCAAAAAGATTTTTTAATTATAATTTTCATTTTCTCAATGCTTTTTTTTAAATAATAGTTTTTTTTGAAATTTAAATATAATTTCACAAAAGTATGTCATTTGAGACATACATGACATGAGATATTTTTGAAACATAACATACTTTTGAAAATTTTTTTTTGGATAATATTAGGGACCAGTTTGATGTTTAAGGGTCTTGTCGCACCACTAAAAATATTTTTTATTCTAAAATTTTCTAAATCCAGTATTATTTTATTATATAGAACACATTTAGGCGATATATATATATATATATATATATATATATATATATATATATATATATATATATATATATATATATATATATATATATATATATATATATATATATATATGTATGTATATTGTTTTATCAAACTTTTTTCCAGTCCCAGCCCTGTCAAATATCAAGTTCAATCATTTATATAGAATAAGCAAGAATAAAACAATGAAGCAAAGACAGCTGTATAGTAACATTTTATTTATAGATGCATATTTCATTTTAAACAAAATAAATACTTAATAACTTTGAAAAAAGTTTTTAATTCAATAACTTACCTTCCACACATGGTACAATGATGAGAACGATCTGGTTTTACTACATAACAATTCCCACAGTATCTTGCAGCTATTTTTATTTGAATTTTTAAAATTAAAAAAAGCTAAAACACATTTTAATATATAATAATACTAGCATCTTAAGTACCTAGATATGCAATTATATATATATATATATATATATATATATATATATATATATATATATATATATATATATATATATATATATATATATATATATATATATATATATATATATATATATATATATATATATATATATATATAATTTTAAACTATTATAGCGTCTGTATAATATTTTATTGACTACAACATATTTCCATTAAATGATCAGGTCTGTGAATTATGAAAAGACAAAAAAGTAAAATGATAAATTTTACGGTTTCATTAAATATGTTTATAGCAAAAAAACCCAGATTGAAGATTCTTTTTTTTAAAAAAAAGTCTTCTTAAAATTACAATCGCTTGTCCAAATTTTAATAAGATTTTAAATAAACACCTTTTTTAGGTGAAATGAACATTATAGTTTAACAATATGATCTGTTCTGATCATTTATTGACAATTTTTCTTAATTATAAGCTCTTCCTTGGTCAGAATTCTAGTATATTTTGTGAAAATTGATAGAAATATTGTGTTTTGACACCTATTTATAGTTAATATGTCAGAAGTAATTAGAACTAGGATCAGTAGTAAATTAAGGATCTTTCTCAAAAGATTTTAACTAAATTCATTTTAACGCTGATGATACTGACTCTAAAATGGTGTTCTTTAGATTCACTATTACAGGTAGTAAAGAGGTTTTGAAAATTATATTTAAAAAGAAAAGTTTCTTTAAATATAAAGAAAACCTGAAGCAAAAAAGATTATATCATTTAAAGCTCTTGTTTAGACATAATACGTTGATAAAACCATACTAATTCCAAATAAAAGAATTCAAATAATTTGTAAATTGCCTTAACTATACTGAGTAGTACAATCAAAAGTAATAAACAAACTTGTGCTAAAATATTTGATTCAGATAATGATTCAGATAAAATATTTGATTCAGATAATTCAGTTTAAAGGAACATTCCATTTTTTGAGAAGATCAAAAGATGTAAAAAGTATTTGATGCTTTTCTTTTTGATTCAGGTCAGGTCAGGTTCGAGATCATCATGATTGCCCTGATACTGGTAACATAAAATCCAGTACTATCTGCCCTAAGCTGCTTTGTAGGATTTGTTTTAGTAGGCAAAGGCTAGGAAAAATGAACTTTAACTTCAAATATCCCTGCCTTTGGACTCTTGGTTAAATAAAAGCTAGAGTTTTTGCTTGTGCCTCCTTGATAGTGGCTATGCAATTGTATTTAAATTACAGCTCTAAAACTTAGTTTAATGGTTCTGAGGCTGGCTGGTATACCTTGACATATCGAAAACTTTTAATAATGTTTAGCATGTTGGCCATCTCCATAAGCTTGCTTCATATAATATATCTGAAAATATTTTTAAGATTTTTAAATCATTTTTTTCTAACTGCAGTATTAAAGTTATACTTGACTTTAATACTGTTTTTTTCCATTAATGATCTTCCTGACAATCTTATGTCTAAAGTAGCTCTATTTGCAGATGAATCAACTTTGAACTCTTGTCTTGAGAAAAAGTCTTCACTTTTTGATTGGCTAGAACAGGCAGCCAATCTTAAATCTGATGTCACTTGTATAACAGATTGGGGCTTGAAGCTACTTGTGAATTTTATCTACAACAAACTCAGTTGTTTAAACAAACAACTATCATAATGTTGACATTCAAGATTGATGCGTGACAACTCTGGTACTGAGTCTTTTACTTTAATTTTTTCTTGGATTATTATTTACTACTAACCTTTCATGGAAACCATATACACAATCTACTGCAAAGTTAGCGTCTGATAAGGTTGCTTCTCTTTATCATTGTAGCCATTTTCTTATTCCTGATTCTATTTTTTAACTCATATTTTGGCAAGGTCTAAAAATTCATAGTAAAATGTAGTTTGAATTGTTCTATCAGAAAAGCACAAGCAATTGTCCCACTGCTGCATTTCTTTCTCTTTTCTACAAACAGTATAATGATCGCTGCTCAAACAAGTTATTATCTCTAGTTCCATCAACCAAAACTTATTCTAGCTTAATTTGTCAGTCAGCCTAGTAGTATCCTTTTAATGTATCTGTCTCTTCATATACTAAAAACTTTTATTCATCTAGTTACTTTCCTTGCACATGCTTTGAAACACTTTCTCATTTTCATGTTTTCCTGAATCAAGCAATCTACAACTTTTTAAATCTTTTATTTTCTTGAACTGTTTTCTTGCTCTTTAACAATATTCTTTGTTTTATAGTAACTCATAACTTAATAGGGGTTGCTTGCAGTCTATTTGGGAGTGAATTGGTATTAAATATATTTTATTTTAAATATTTAAAAAAACCTTTTTTAAAGCATATTTTTAACCAAACATTTCCAACATCTGGATCAAACTCATTTTTAACATAGGCAGCTTTAAAAACATATATATATATATATATATATATATATATATATATATATATATATATATATATATATATATATATATATATATATATATATATATATATATATATATTATTAAACTATTTTGAGACAATAAAAAACTTACAATTTGCAACCGCCCATGTTACAACAGGTAAACCTTTAGCTATTTCATTAACAACATCTTGTGGATTCTCCTATACATTTGAATATATTTATATATATATATATATATATATATATATATATATATATATATATATATATATATATATATATATATATATTTATATATACATACCAAAAACTAAGTGTTATTAAATTTTTAAAAAACCACAAAAATGCAACTTAACAGATAGAAATACTACTTATTTAGTAGTGGTAGAGTAGAACATGCAAGGAATGCTGCTACGTCAAATGACAAATAGGTAGTACATACAAGAAATGTTGCTATATCGACTGACAGATAAGTAGAACATACAAGATGTATGTATACTTATGTATATATGTATATATATACTTTTGCTTGGGCGTTTTTAATTTTTCCATTGTTGGGTCAGTTTTATGTTGTTTTTTTTTTAATTGTTTTAAAAACCAGAAAAAGTTTAAAAACTTTTCAAAAAAATTTTTTTTTTTAATTATTTCATAGACTGACTGCCCCAACCAAACCCCCAGTCGATGTAGCAGCACTTCCTTGTAGCAGCAGGCTATAAGATAGTCGATGTAGCAACACTCCCTTGTAGCAACAGGTTATAAAATAGTCTAAGACAAGTTAAGCACATACAAATTAAGACTAAATTGTTTTTAAAAAAATTCTGAATATTTTTAAAAACATACTGAATATTTTTATTTATCTATTTTTTTAAATAATAATATAAACTTTATGTTTTTTTGAGTTTTCCATTAAAATTGTTTTACAATGATTTAGCAAACTGCAACAGATAAAAAAAGGTCCTTAAAAACAAAACGCAAATAAAAAAAATTTAATGACATCACAAATCACATTACACTTATACGCAGCACATTTATTCATCATGATGTCTGTGGTTGCTCTTTACAAATTGCACAAATAACTAGAAAAATTACTTTGCATGGAGTGCTAGAAGGGTTGCTCAGAGTGATTTCAGTGTCAACAGTGTGATTTCTACTAAAATGCCATTAATTTATGTGTTTGCACAAAATATTGAAACTTTGACCCCTAAAATTGCTTAAATTTGCCTAACTTTATGTATGGTTATTCCTTATATATAGTAGAACAAAATTAGGCCAATGTAGAGTGGTCAGAAACACTTTGGATTTTTACTATGTAATTCTGAAGCACCCTTATATATAAAAAATTAGAATAACCATTTAAAAAAATATTTAAATAAAACAAGCACTTACAGAATTCTCATATCTTTCTAAATCTTCTTTTGAAAAGAAAAACTATACACCAAAAAGTAGAATTATTTTACAATTACTATAAATAGTATTTATTAAAAATATATTTTACCAAAAAACATTTAAATATATTTTTAATCTTATAAAAAAAAATTCTATTTACTAAAATAAGAAAAAATATTTAAAAGATTTGTTAATTAATACATTTTTTTCAGAAATATAAAAAACTGACTTGGCTAGGAACAAATCCTGGTGATGATAAAATTGATTTCCAATAAGAATACATAAACATTACAAAGAATAAATGAAAGAAAACCAAATACAATCCTGGTAAAAAAATTATATATAAAATTTAACATTAAAATTTAATACTATCCATCATTTTCAATTAATATAACAACTTCTACAATTTTCAATTACATTGAACAACTTTCGAATTAGCTTTAAAATAGCTCAACTTAGCTTTAAATTAGCAAAGATCTTTAAAATAGCACAATAATGAATATTAAAAAACAAATGAAAATTTTCAACTGCATTACTTGATATAACACAGTACATTTTTTATTACTTAAACAAGACATAAACTTTTAAAATCTTATTAAATCAATCAAACTTATTGACAGGCCTGAGATAATAAAGATACAATAGGTAAAATAAAATGGATAAATTAATAACTTGAATATAAAAAAATAATAATAATAAAAACATATTATAAATATAACTCAACGCTCCAATTTAACATAAATAGAGACTGCAAGAACCTGTCAGAGTTCAAAAAAAGATTTTATAGTAAGATTCTCATTGCTCGGCAACAATAACAAAAATAAGTATTATTGCTTACAAATAACAACATTAAGTGAACAGGCACCATGCTTCACAAATAGTTTGCTAGCACTGTTCCATGTTGGTTTATTTAAAATCAAACAAAGTGAATTATTATATGCAACACATATATGCAAAGAATGAATTTTTTGCTAAAGATACCATAACTAATATCTATAAAAAGAACTACATAAAAAGGCATTAAATAACATTACCTTCATTTGCACTTGTGCTGAGCTAAACTTTATACAGATGAGATTAGCTTTAACATACAGAGAACATATTTGTTTCAGAATATCTTTGTCATGGTACATATTGAATATTGTATGAGAGAACCATGTAATATTATGTGAAACAAGGGTTTTCAATTACAGGAGGTCCATGACTTTTAAAGAACACTACTTGTGACTTTTTATTGCTAAAGATTGTATCAAAGGTCTTGTTTTAAAGGGTTAAACAGTGCATAATTTATACATGCATTTAAGAATTTTACTAACACTTCAAGCATTTTCAGTTAAGCACATTTTTATTATTTTTTAATATTCAAATTAGTGTAAAGATATCATTTAAGCAATAAGATGAAAGAAATTAAAAAAACACACACAAAAGTTTGAATGATGATTATGTAGAATGATTTAGTTAAAAAAGTTTGAACGATAACTACATTGGATATGAGCGTTATTTACAAGTGTAAGTGTAAATTTTCAAGTGTAATATTTTTTATTTTTTCTTAAAGAAACTAGCTTATTTTTACGGCTATTTTTTTTTTCGGTTTTCCTTCTTACTTTTTACTTTTTTTACTAAATATTAAACTCCTTTTAAACCTGTTATAAGACTAAATCAAAAATGTGCACAAAATGAGCGCTAAATTTATATTTGTAAGGAAAATAAAAGTTTAAGGATATATACTTTTTAATAAACGGCATTTGGAAATTAATCTTTGCTTGTAATGACAAAATTGCTGGTAAAGTAATTAACTAGAGTATTTACATTTGCAATGAGTAATATATTTTGTTTGGTCTACTATAGCCAGGTTTTATCAGATTACCAGATTAAAAAAGTTTTTAAATTTCATTGTAAACTTACATTAACAATTAACTTTTACTTTCAACAACATTTTTATTTTATAAATATTTTTAAGTATTAAGAAAATTAAAATATACTTAATACTAAGTATATTTTAATAATAAAACAATTTAATATAAAAATAAGCAAAAAGTTAAACAAAAATATTCACCTCTTTCAAGTTCATTGCTAACTATATCTAAAAAAAATTTATTGTAGGTATGTATATGTATATATATATATATATATATATATATATATATATATATATATATATATATATATATATATATATATATATATATATATATATATATATATATATATATATATATATATATATATATATATATATAAATTAGAAAAATAAAACTCATATTTTCTTAACAACTGTCAAGGTAACTTTAATTTTTTTTTTTACTAATAATATATAAATTATTAGTAAAAAAAATTTTTTAGAGTGACTTTGATAATTGTAATGTAATATATATTACTTGTAATGTAATATATATATATATATATATATATATATATATATATATATATATATATATATATATATATATATATATATATATATATATATATCACTATAATTCTAATAGTAGTAAATTTTATTATGAACATATATAATTAGCTCTTTTAATTTTAAAAAAAACTATATTTAGCATAATTTTAATTGTATGTATGTATATATATATATATATATATATATATATATATATATATATATATATATATATATATATATATATCACTATAATTCTAATAGTAGTAAATTTTATTATGAACATATATAATTAGCTCTTTTAATTAAAAAAAAAAACTATATTTAGCATAATTTTAATTAGTTTTTGATTATTTTATAAATGGGGGTTAGTCTTTGCATTTTTGTATTTTTCAATTTTTAAGATTTTTTTTTATTATCTTAGCAAACATTGGCTGGGGGACCGCATGTTATAGTTTGTTTTAGAACTAAGTTTTAAATAAGAAAATCTTTATCCTCAGGTTGAAAACTCTATTTAAAAAGTGTCTGCATTCTGTTTCATCACTCTTGATGATAAAAGAATTAAAACTGACATAAAAAATTTTTTAAATTTGTAATAAAACAAACAGTTCAACATTTTCTGAACCAATAGGACTTAACGTTTAAAGTTAAAAATGCTAATCATAAAATATAATATTATGGCAAATGATGTCTTATGTCATTAGTTTTCAATCTACTCTGCTTTTCGATCTGCTAATAAAATGCCAAATTATCAAAAATTGCTGTAAAATTATAATGATTTAGATACATTAAATATTGAACATGTTAAAATGAAAATATAATGTAAATTTTTTGTTGCTGGTTAATACTTACTCCAGCAACAAAAAATCCTATTTATCTTTAAAAAAATAGCTGCAGTTTATAAAATAAAACATGAATGCAAGTTGTTCAACTACTTATCAGCTACCAGTAACCACTTTAAAGTTGGGCAATTCCATTTTAAAACAATTCTTTCATAGAATGCGGGCCTAAGTTTCAAATTTTGCTAATTTGATACCACTAAAAGTTTTTATAAATATGAATATACCTAAAATTTCATCATCTAATTCTATCTAGTTTCAAAGGTGTCATACCTTTGACTTAGACTTTTCTATGAACCAACAAAAATCTATTATTTTTAAAAATGGTTTTGACTTTTCTTTCTCGTGTCAAAAAAGTTAATGCAGAAAGATACAAACTTCTATTTTTATATTAAAAACTGAGCAAAAAGTATCTTTATAAAAGGATTTTCAGCCACCTCAATAAACCAGTTCAATAAAAAATTTAATTGACTATTCCTACACTTAAATGTGATTTTTATAAAAAATTTCTTTAAAATGGTTTATGTTTTTTTAAATGTGTTCGCTATTTCACTTTCTTCATTATGTTTTTTAAAATGTGTTTTTTTATTTCACATTTATTTTTAAATTAACTTACAAAAGCATAAAATTAACATATGCAAAATAATATATATATATATATATATATATATATATATATATATATATATATATATATATATATATATATATATACATATATATATATATATATATATATATATATATATATATATATATATATATATATATATATATATATATACATATATATATATATATATATATATATATATATATATATATATATATATTTATATATATATATATATAAATATATATGTATATATATATATATATATATATATATAATTACTTTTTATAATTATCATTAAATCTTACCAAAGCATAAAATTATAACATATGCAAAATAAGACCATACTACAATGGCATTAATAATCACTACTGGGAACCAACCCAATGTTCTATATATACAAGCCAAAGTACTATTCACTTTCTTCATTATGTGAATAGATATCTTTATAAACTTTCTATTTACATTTCGTTAAGTGTTAAATATTTATTTTTTTTAGTATCAATTTTATCCGTGGTCGTTAATTCAGTTCGCCTCAATCAACTCAAATCATATACTAGGGTTATTTCAAATTACGTAAAAGCAACACAGGATACGTTTAAAAACTTATTTAACTATTGCCCGGTCTCAAATCGAGTACGAAGTTAGCCTGTTATTAAAAGTGATTTAGTTATAAAAACTAGGGGTGTACCGGATTGGAAATTTCAAACTCCGGTTGAACTGGATTTGCGGGAGCTACAAATAAAAATCGGGCTGGAACGAGAATTGTATTTATGTTCTTTTTTATATATATATATATATATATATAAATAAAAATATATATATATATATATAGTGTTCGGCAAAATCAAATATACGTCAAACCTTTAAAGATTTGAATTTGAACTGTTCTTTGAGGGGATAGATTTGAATTTGATTTGACAAATATCTGGAGGATTTGGATTTGGTTTCAAATATTCACTTTGTTCTCAATTTTTGCGTTTGAAAAAAAAACGCCAAATTTTACAGGCCCGCAAACATATATATCACTTTATTCCGGGGTCTTTGCAGTGGTTTCCGGAATGGCGGTCGCCTTTCAATAACGGAAAAAAAAAAAAAAAAAAAAGAGTTTTTAATTAAAGTTTGTTAATATTAAAGAGAAAGTAAAGAGCATAGAGAAAGAAAAAAAGAAAAGAAATGTAAACAAAGTACAAGATTAAAAGAAAAAACGTAGAAAAAAATATATGTAAAAATGAAAATAAAAAATTGCAAATACAATTTAACCACAATAAAAATGGAAAAAGTAAAACAATAACGAATCGAAAAACATTCAGAGAAAGAAACAATCATTCGAAAAAAGAAAATAATAAAAAAATATAATAATGGCTTGCTTGAAAGCAAAGAATTTTTTTTTTTAATTTTACTATAACTTATTTTTATATTTCCAGGTTTCAGGTAGATTTCCTAATTTATTTATTTGTTAATCTTTTTTTTGTCGGTTTAAGTTTGCCGTTTTGTTTGTAGTATGTTTGTGAAAACTTGTGTTGTTGTTGCTATTGTGTTTGTATTGTTTGCTGTTACTGTAGCTGTTTTTGTAAATTTGATCTGTTTATGTATGTTTTTTTTTTTTTTTTAAACTATATTATGATTATTTCTATTTTAATATTCGTTATTCTTATTTTCATTAATTATTTTTCCTTGTTTTTCATTATAATAGTTGCAATATGTCATTGTTTACTTTTACGTTTTATCAGTTGTAACTGTTTGTAACTGTCTAACTTTGTTTATGTAGCTATTGTATTTATAAAGACAAGTAACTTATATATAATTATTATTATTGTTATCATTATTATTAATATTATTTTTATTATTTAAACCATTATTATTTTAATCATTTTCATTAGGTGTTTACTTAATATTAGTATATTTACTATTTGTAAACAACCTTGAAATGTATCTATTTCAGAAATATATATTGATTGATTGATTTAATGATTAATTAGTACCCCTAACCAAACTATTGTTTTGAAAGAAATCAAATATACATTCCTAATTATGTCGGATAATCTAGAACCCGAATCTTCTTCTGTTACAAAAACCACCAAACGTTCACAATCAATTGTATGGGATCATTTCACAGTTGATGAGCATGACAAAACCAAGGCCATATGCCAGCATTGTCCAAAGCACAAGAACAAGTATGCTTACAATAAAGGTGGGACAACAAATCTAATGAACCATTTAAATTCTCAACACAAAAGCAAATTACTTGGGGACAGAGAACCAAAGCAACGACGTTTAGATGACATGATAATGACACCAATCGTTTATTCTCCAGATCTATTCAATGAATACTTAGTTAGCTGGATTGTCAAGAATGATCAATCATTTAATGAGGTAGAGTCTAGCCACTTTCGTAAACTACTCACTCTACTGAAACCAAATTTGTCAATCATGAGTGCCACCTAATTTAGGATATTAGAATTTATATTTAGAAAAAATCGATTCCCCACAATTGGCCGGGTGATGCCTACTTTTTAGGGTTTTTTTGTTTCCAGGCTCTAATCAGCGCAATTTTTGGCAAATCATGACTAAACCATAAAAGTAAAAACATTTGGAGTTTAGAACTTACCTGAAAGTTATATAACTCGAATCCCAAAAAATCCTGCATCCGCCCCTCTGCCTTGCATGCATTTGTATGTTGCATACATACAAATGCATGCATACACACAGATATGATATATGTGAGTATGTTTTTTTTTTAGCAATTACAAGTTTTCAAATACATGCAATGTAAAGTAAGTAATAAAAACATTACTTTTTAATTAGCTTATTCAATATTAATAAATAATTTTATTTTTATCTTTACTTTTATAACATGATTGCTTAAGATCAAAGACCAGAACAAAGTTAGCACTTTACTACTCAAACGATAAAATACATTTTTCTACCAAAAATAAATTTAAGCAAGAACCAAAAAGTAATCAACTATAATGTAAAGAACATTAAAGAAGTTGAAAAAAAAATTTTCAAGTTCCTACAGTTAGAAATTCTGAAAATTTATTTCAAAAAAATAAACAAGTCGCTCTGGTACAGCAAAATAGCTTTCACAAAATGCATCTTAAACTTATTTTATTTACCTAATATTAACTATGTGAATCTTAGTTTGTTTTTAAACTTATTTTATTTACCTAATATTAAAAATATGAAGCTTGTTCATTGGTTTAAAAAAAAAGTTTATAATACTGAACAGCACACCAAAAAATACAACTAAATGGTTCATTTAAAATTTACTCCGTAGTTATGAACCGCAGCCATTTTAAAAGTTCTAAACTTTTTACCAAAAACTGGCACATGCGTACTTAAACATAACGTTTTTTCCTAATATCTAAACGACCGTGATATATACACATATACTATTTCATTAATTTGATTTTTGCTTTTTGCTTCATTTAAATCTAATATGTTGTTCTAATCTAATATGTTGTTTTTATTTGTTTCTTATAATTTTATTTATTGAAAGTTTTAACCTGCATAATATTTATATATAAAATTATTTCTTTTATTTCTATTTATCCATTTAGGTTAAATTGAAATATTTTATGTATTAGGTATCTTGTACTTTTTAATTATTTTAAATATTTTAATTAAAATGAGACTAAAATGAGGCTAGTTCGTGCGTGATTGCACGGAAGATGATGCGATAAACATACTTCATTGCATTACATTCTTAATTATTACTGAAAAAAGTTTATAGGGATACTTAACAATATAAAAACGGTCACCATGTTCATTGAGACTTATTCCGGTATTTTTCTGGATGCAGAAATGTTTCAAGATATTCTTCCGAGTACAAAGCTTGATCAATTAGACCAAGATACTTCCGCTATTTTACTTATTTTTAATATGATTTACTGCAGTAAGTATTTAATAATAATTTTTTACATTTCTGAACATTTTTAGGCCTTTTTTAATATGATTAACGCAGTAGGCAATGTTACAGCCAAATCAAAATGTTGTCAGCTATATGGGTCTGAGTCATACTTAAAAAGTAAAAAAGTCTTATCAGCGGCGATTTTTGCTTGATTCTCCTGCTTTAAGTCGTTAGTAACTTAAACGCATAGGTCTTTTTTAAATGTTGTTAACTTGAGTTCTGTTTTGTTGACTTTATCGTTAACTTTTTGCTAGTTCATAGAGCAAACGTGTGGAAAAACGTTGTATTTTTTATGTGCTCTTTGTTTTTTTCACAAAAAAAGCACCGATTAACCTAGTTTATGGAATTGCAAATACATTTCAATTAAAAAAAGTGTTTAAGAAGTTTTTTAATCAAATACATTACAAATATAGCCAATTATTCTATTACTATCAAATATAAATACAAGCAAATATTTGACTCTAACCCTGCCTCGCACTAAATGTTACTTTAGATTTCATAGGATTACAAGCCTACTTGAACTACACTTTAAGTAGGCAATGAGGTTTCAGGGTTTTTTAATAGTCTTCTGTAAGGGATTTTGTCGAAAGGAAAAATCAAGAAAGAGTACGTCAACAGAAAACTTATGAGAAATGATGTAGGTCAGAAAGTCCGTAACTTCGAACAGATATGTGACCGTAAAAATGATGCGAGTTTACATAATATTTTCAAATTTATATAAACTTTAAATATTTAATAAACTTTATAAATATTTTTTTTTCTAAGTTTTTAATATTTTACAATTGTCAAAAGTTTGTTGGCTACAAGATGCTGCATGATCTTGTCTTTTTCCATTTTTCAATCATTTTGAATAGTACAGAGGTGATGGAAATCGGCTTGTATTTTTTCGGGTCAAGTTTTTTTTTTTGCCAAAAGCCACGCTTTCAACCCTACACCTTGATCCAACAACTTCTGAAAAATGATGGCGGTTCGATTGTAAAAAACTGATGGCTCGGCTATGTATATTGACGAATGTGAAGTGGAGATGTTGCGTAAGACTAAGTGTCTTCTTTTTAAAAGCTGAAACTATAAATTGGATATTTGTAGAATTATTGTTTTTTTTTTTTAGAAAAGCGAAATGAAAAGCTTAAGGTGGTTGCTAGAGAAAAAAAAATACATATACTAGAGATGTCACGAATAGTAATTTTGCTAAATATTGTGAAACACCGATTATTTGGTGCTTCTCAGCCGAAGTACCGAATAATCGGTGTTTAACTAAATGTTCCCAAATATTCGGCAACATTTAGTTACTTAGGATTTTTACCTGTTTCATTGAAGAGCATATGTTAGATACGCTGTTGGCGTTTTTATTTCATTTGTCATTAGGCCATATCACAGCAGGCATTATTTGGTGACTGTTGCGTCAAATTGTTTTAACTATAGTTATGTATAAAAGTATCATACTTTTCAAACCATTCAAAAGCATTACAAAAATAGGTATATCTTGCATTTCTGAGGTAATTTAAGAAGTTGCAATATCGCAAGGTTAGAATTATTTTATTCTATCTCCACATTTTTTTGTTTTGAGATAAAACGATTTAAAAAACAAAAACTTTAAGTTTTTATTTTTTAAATCGTTTTAATTACTTATGTTTTCTCCGAAACTCTTTTGATTTTAAATTAGGTTTTAATATAGTAGAAAAACATTATTTTGAGGTACATGACACAATCAATAACGCGATTTTTTCAAAAAATGGAGTAGAACAAAATAATTCTAACCCGCGATATATAGATTTAGTAAAAAGTACTAAAACGTGAAATTAAAGCATGGTTTAACTTTATTGAAAATACAAACTATACTGTTTTTTGATGCACGTTCTAAAACTTCAAGTGATTAGTTAAAACACAACAAGAAACACAACAAAAATTTCAATGACACCAATGAACCATTTTCCGAATTCCAAATGCATATGATAGTTTTTACATGAAACTGTTTGTTTGAATACGACAACAAAGCCTTACAAGGTGTGGTAAGTAAATGCAAAGCATTATCCCGACAAAGCCTTCTAAAATTTTCTTATTTTTTGCCGCTTTAAAAACTTTTAATAATAAGAAAAGTTCCAGTCAAGGAAACATTGAACTACTGCTATATCACTGCAATGTCATGCTTGCAGCAACTTATAAGATAAGTTTATATTGTCATTTTGCATTTTAAATCCCATCGAATTAAAGACAAAAAACTGTACAGTCTACAACAGTATAGCTTACCCAGCGCAACCAATATAGTGTGAACACTTATTAATCACCAAAAAAAAAGTGATGAAATTAAATCACCGAAAAAAAAGTGATGCAAAAGAACTTTCAGTGAATGGTGCACATGCATTTTTTGAGGAATAACTTTCAAAATTTGTCAAAACGTAGAAAATAAGGCTTTTTTTAAAAAAAATTTAAAATAGCCATAATTTTTTTTTTTTTTTCAAATGTTCCAATTAAGGCGCTGTTCGTTCCAATTATGGCAAATTTACCCTATAGATTTAAGTTTCAAATATGCTAATTATTTGTTAAAATAATAATAATAATAATAAAAAAAAAAAAAAAATTGCTGAAACTTCTGAGATACTTGCCAATGATACTAAACTCTTATCTAAAACTTTATTGCAGACTAAATTTGTTGATCTACATGATTGCTTACGCTTGATATGCGAGCTGTCAAATACTCGGTCACTTAAGTTAAACATTTCAAACTGTTTTGTTATCCATAATGGTCAAACTAATTCTATTTATAGTTACTTTTTCTATTTACAGGTCATTTTTTTATTTAACCTCAAGTGCAGCACAATATTAAATTTATTGTTTCTAAATCCCTACAAATTCTTGGTATGTTAAAAAAGATTTACATGGACAAAAATACGGTTGTCAAACTATATTAAGTAATTATAAGACCACACTTTGAATATGCAGTCTCTATTTGGGCTCCTTACATAAAATTAGATATATTCTTAGTTGAATCTCTCAGAAAAAAATTGTGCGGTCGTGGCGCAGTGGTTAGAGCGCTTGCTTTATAAGAAGGAGATCCAGGTTCGAAACAAGCTCTGGACATATTTTTGCGTCATGGTAAGGAAGGAGGCGTGAACTTCCTGGTTAAATGTTCTTCCGCGGTGCTCTGTGAAAAGCCCGTTAGGTCTTCTTGGGGAACCTAAAAATAACAGGAAAAAAAAAAAAAAAAAAAGCTTGCGTATTAGTATATAAATGTTTGCATGGGACCTTGTGTTGCAATTTCAAAAACTATTTTACATTAAAAAACACTCAAAACAAACACGCAACAATAATCTTTCTGTTGCTATTCTAAAGATAATACTTGAATGTACAAAAAAGTCATTTTCTTACGCAGGCGCTGTTTTTTACAATATTTAAACAAAAGAGGCAAAAAGTGCAAAAAACAACTTTATTTAAATCACTTTTATAAAATTTTTAAATATTATTATATTTATATTTTATACTTTTAGTCACATATTTTTTAACGTTATACTATTTTTAATTTTTATTCTGGACACATATTGATAGCAGTTTTTTTTATAACTGAAATGCATGTCCGGTTAAAATATTCATTAAAAAAAATAATAAAGTTAAAAAAAAATTTAATGAAGAGCAAGAAAATCTGACTTCGAGTTTGAGACATCTATTATACTGCGAGAAACTAAAAAAATTAAATAAAGATTAAACATTAACGGCTTTATGAAAAATTAAGGTTTTCTATACGAAGCAACAATAAAATGGTTATGCCGTGAATTTAACAATAAAATGCCGTAAATTATAGCCGTAAAGCTAACTAATAGCGTCATAACTTGCTCTTTTCAATTTTAAAATCAGCTAAGATTGCATGTGGGTTTGTATCTTTTTTTAATCTTTTTTTAATACTTTTGTTTTGAAATAAATTTTTTTTTTTTAATAAAATTAAAAAAAAAATTTACATAATTTTGTTTAAAAATAGTATAAAAATATACTACAAATGTGGGAGGACGAGGGTGGCATAAAATACAAATGAAATATTTGTATTTTATGTTACTTTACTTTTATATTTCATATAAAAAAAATTTATCCTTTAAAAAAAAAAATACTCCGCTCCTTTAATCAGGAAATACTCCGTTTCTTTAATAAGGCTAAAAAGCTCGATTTAATTACAAATATATTGACAACGCATCGCTAAATATCGAAACTTTTTATTAAGACTAAAAAGTAAAAAATAAAATATATTTTTTAGCAAAAACATTTGCTAAAAAATAAAATCTTTTTTGTACTAAGAAGTGGAAAATAAACTTTTTAACTTTAGTTTAATAGTTCAGTAAACTAAAGATTGACAGGTATGTTTCTATATAAATCTTCAATCTTTAGTTTACTAAACATTTAAGTTAAAAAGTTTAGTTTCCACTAGTGAAAACAATAGGAAGTTTTCATGTAATAATAATTTTATGTCTCTATTCAAATTAATAATAAAAATGTATTACATTTCTTTTTTCAGAGCTTTAGCGTCCTATTACTCTCAAAAATAAATAAATAAATAGGCGACTATATCCTCCTGATAAATTACAACAATAAATATAACCAAGATGTATTACCTTTTAGATGTATTGTCAAGTATGCAAATGATAAATTTTCATAAAAATCTCATTGCAACATATATAACACTTATTTCGGTTTCCAGATAGCTTTATATCAACCCAGATAGCACAACTTATTGGTCCAACATTGGCCCATTGTTGGCAGCCAACTATTTTAACGTTGGCCCGATGTTGGTTGACTGATGTGGGCCAACATTGGCGTGATACAATAAACAACATTGGCCCAACAGTGTTGGGCCGACGTTGGCTAACATATACGGGCCAACATCGGTTTTATAATTAGCGCAACATTGGTCCAATGTGTTGGCCTAACATAAATGTTTTACCGACCTTGATAACTCTTAGTTATACGTTAACGAACCGTATTTGCATAATATTAGGTGAAATTTTACCTAACATTATGCAAATTGTTGAAAACAAAAAGATAAGTAAGAAGTTTGTTATAAGCAAAAAGAAACTTATTAACATTATTATTCTTTATTATTATTTTAAACAAATGAGAAGTAGATTATCTAAAGTCATTGTTTTCATCTTCACTATCTGGATCAGCATGCGGTCTTTTCAAACGTTGCGTCCTGCCACCGTTTCTATTTTTGGCATAGCGAAACCAGTTCATAATAGCATTTTTTATTTCGTGATTTGTTACATTAGCTACCCTAAAATTGCAGCGAACTGCTTGCATTACAACATTGCTTAAGGCCAATGAGCAAAAACTGTATTTTCCATTTTTCCCCATCCAGTTGATTTTAAGTGCTAGTTCGTGCGTAAATAAACCTTTTAACACGTTTCTAACTGTATCATTCACATCAATTCCACCAGTTATTTCAAGGAAACCAATCTGAAATTTAAAATAATAAACTTATTAAATAACTTATCAGCAATAACTTAACGACATTGTTATATTTCATTAACGTTTAAAATTTTTTAGCATCTAGTAAACTATTTGTTTGTTGAGTTAATTAATTTAATTAATTCAATTTACCATAGCATTCTTAAAATCACTACATTCAAGTTTGTCATCTAAATTTGTAGTATCTTCCCAACTCCCTAATATTTTGAAACCATCTGGAATCTTAGTGTTGTTTGAGCATAATCCTAATTTTGACAATACTACATTCAGCATTGCATTGCATGTTTTTATTTCCGTGCATAGCTCCTTGATCTCCTCCTTTTGTTCAACTATCAGTTTCAACATATGTTGATTAATACCTAAAAAATATTGTGTTGAATATATCTAAAAAATTAAATATTGGATAAGTTGCCTTCACTGTAAAAAAAAAAGAACCTAATTTTCACCTAATTATCCAAAAAATATATGCATGTGTTTTATAAAAATTGTAAAATATATGCACATGTGTTGAAGTAAATCATATTTTTGTAAGGCTGTTTATAAATTTTTAAGTATATACTTTTGAGTACACATGTATTACTAATTATAATTATAAACGAATGAAAATGTTCTTAAATTATATCAATTTATGTAAACTTAAACTTTCATTTGCATAACTAAATTATAAAGATAATTATTTGAAACCTGATAAATGTTTTGGAGATAATTTGTCATTATTTGACATAAAGTGTGACAACTTTTTGGGCGCATTGATACACGGCCTTATTTCAACCAATTCTGGCGTAAAGCTATCTAAAAAAAAATCAATTTTGTACTTTAAAGTATATATATATATATATATATATATATATATATATATATATATATATATATATATATATATATATATATATATATATATATATATATATATATATATATATATATATATATATATATGTATATATATATATGTATAAATATATATATATATACATATGTATGTGTATATATATATATATACACACACACACATATATATATATATATATATATATATATATATATATATATATATATATATATATATATATGTATATGTATATATATATATATATATACATATGTATGTATACATATATATATATATATATATATATATATATATATATATATATATATATATATATATATATATATATATATATATATATATATATATATATATACATATACATATATATATATATATATATATATTATATATATATATATATATATATATATATATATATATATATACATGGCCGTAGAGAGAAGGGTATATTGTCCTGGGGCCCATGTCTGTTTAAGGGTCCGTAAGAAAAAAAAAAGAGTAAAAAACAAACAAACAACTTGAGGCAATTTGGCATTATATGTTGTATATTATATGTTATTCGAAAAAGAAAAAAAAAGTATTTGAACTTATTTGTACTAACCTTTTTTTTTGTAATAACCTTGGTGGAGTAGTCCACCATGGTTAGTACATTTGTAAAAAATTGTATGAAACAGATTATTAAAGAATAAAATTGAAAAATAATCAAAATAAACACAATTACATAAAATGGGAAATAAAATGTATTCTTACTAATTGCAGCAGGAACAAGCCCAGAAGGAACAGTGGGAGCAATCCGCAACAGACTTGTAATTTTTTTTTTCTTCGTTAACCTTACCTCTTTGTGACTTTCATCGTGGACAAAGTTAAGCTCTTCCAAACGATGAAATGCATTTATCTTGGATGTTTGAATTTGTACTTTAAAATCTAAGTCATTATAATTAACCTCTTCAACTTCTGTTGAGGAGGTTAACTCAGCCCTTGTTGCAATTTCTATTGCTTTTCCATAGGTATCTATTAAAACAAAATTGTTGAATGTTTTTTTTTTTAAGATTCAAAAATAAAAAAATATTCAACAATTTTAATTTAAGAAAAAATTTAAGTAAAATATAACATTTGCTAATTCTATAAATTAGTTCAATATTTTTAACAGATAAATACAATATTTAATTAACAACAGATAAATATTATATTAATTAAGAAAAAAAGTTTATATTATTAATATAAACTTTTTTTAAATTGACAATATAAGCAGAAATTTAAGAAAAGCTTTACCTGCAGTTCCAAATAAACGAATCACTTCATGCATAGACCAATTGTCTGTATTAGGTATTTGAGAAGTGATAATAGCTTTTTTTATCTTTGAAGTACTATGATAAGGCGGCCAATAGCAATACTTTTTATCTCCAGATAACCATGTTAAAGGAACAGGCTCCACTTCATCTCCAATAAACTCTACAATTATATATTTACCACCAGACATAATTTGTATAAATTCATAAACTTTAAACTGTGTGTCAAAAAACAATATATAAAAATCAAAATAAAGTGAAATATAAAAAACTGTTTGAAGACAACAACACCTATACAGACCAGATGCATATAATCAATTGGAAAATTTGTTACCATGCCTATTCCAAGCTCAAGTAATGGAGTTGAACCCTTATGGTGCTCTTGGTCATCCATTGCAGCAAAACCTTCATTGGTAAGTAGTTGGCAATTCACATCTGTGTATATTACTCTTCCACTCCATTCACCTTCAACCACACATTTTTCACAGGCTGAGTATCCACTGTGAAGCCTAATATTTTTTAAGAAAGCTCTTGCAGGTGCGACATAAACAAAAGCACCTACTTGTATAATGTAATGAGCTCCGTTAAACAAAATACCTTGTAACAATTCTTTAGCCTCTGTAACAAATTGGTCTAAATATTCATTAAGTAAATCTGGCTTTGTTTTACCCATATATATACCAACAACAAATGGTTTTGGCTTTTGAGACTGCATAACATAACACAATTTTGGCCGAAATTGATCTAATGTACTTTTAGATAAGGAAATACCATCAACATTTAAACATAATGTTAACACATTTTCTTCATTAGTTAGTCTTTGATTAGAGAGAAAGCTTTCAATACCACTACGCAGTCCTAAATGATAGTAAGTCCCATTTCCTAGTTCTATAATTACAACACTGCGTGGAGTCTTAAGTAGTGTTCTGGAATCTTGAGGCAATAAGGGGTGATATGGATTCAATAGTTTTAATAGTGATGTTAATGATACATGTGTTATGTTAAACTTAACAGCCCACTCACGTAACTGCTCTACAAGTTTTAACTGAATCAGCTCACTATCAACTGTTTCATTATCGCTGCTGTAATTAAAATGTTGAAGATGGTCATCATATGTGTAATCATTACAAAACCTACTATCTAAATCACTTGCTTGCATATAAATAGATGAAAAAACTGGGTTAATATTGTTAAAAAAGTTAATATTATCTGAACTGCTGTCACCATTTGATAACGAATTATTTAATTCATCATTAATAATAGAAGCTTCTTCCTCACTTTCAGATATATATTTCATTATAGAAGATACTGTTTTAGATATACGCCACCTCTTTGATAAGTATGTTGACTTTGATTGATTATTTGATACCATTACTGTAAAACAAACTTTTACTGATAACTTATAAAATATATATATATATATATATATATATATATATATATATATATATATATATATATATTATATATAAATATATATATATATATATATATATTATATATAAATATATATATATATATATATTATATTATATATTTTATATATATATATATATATATATATATATATATATATATATATATATATATATATACATATATATATATACATATATATATATATATATATATATATATATATATATATATGTATATATATGTATATACATATATATATATATATATATATACATATATATATATATATATATATATATATATATATATATATATATATATATATATACATATATATATATATATATATATATATATATATATATATATATATATATATATATATATATATATATATATATATATATATATATATATATATATATATATATATATATAATATTAAAGTCTTGAAAATAAGAAGATACTGTAATAGTGATTTAAAAGATACTGTAATAGTTCGGTCTGTATTGGTTGTCAAATATTATAATTTATTTGATTTTCATGTCCAAACGTAAAATATAACATACGGTAATAAACTAAAATAAATATTACTGTTTAAAACGCATGTTTTGTATTTTTGGTTGGCTTAATGTTGGCATATAACGTTGGGCCAACATAAACTAAATAAAGTGTGCTATCTGGGAACATGCTACTAAAAACAAACTTACATGTTGCTAATATGGCCTAAAATCCAATGTTAAAAATAAAACCAAAGATTTGTAATTTTGTATTTATCATAATTTAAATTAAAAGAAGAAATGCCTTTTTACTAGGAATATATATTCGGTCTTTGTCTTTTTTTGAATTCTTTTACTTGATCTTTCCTTACAAAATATGTAACTTCTTTTTGCAAATTATTATAAAATCTATTATTAACAATGCGAGATATATATTTGACCCCCACTTTTAGTGGTTTTCCCTAGTAAAATCAACACTGCTATATAAAAAATCTTTAAAACTTGCTCTGTAAATTTTTAATTGTTTGATTAGAAAAGGAGAAATAACATATAGAATACTAAAAAGATAACATATAAAATCAGACAGATTGAATTTGATGGTTCTCCTCTGTATAAAATAATGTTTATTGATCATAAGTTTAACATCTAAATATTTTTTATATATTTTCTAAATATAGAGACTATTTGCTAAACTGGTAGAGACTATATGCTAAGAACTGGTAAAGACTGGTAGTTATGTAAACAGCTAAGCAATATCTTGCATGATATTTTTAAGGATTATCAAATGTCTAACAAATATTTTCTTCCCTGAAAATATTATAGAGTAGACTTCTGCCAAAATCTTTTCACTACTGCAAATTTCTAAAAGACTCACAAAAAGTCTACCACTGGTCGTTTAACTATACTTACTAAAACTTCTAATGGATCGCTTTGTAAACTGGAAGTAAGAACAAATTTTTAGTCTTCTTCAAGGAAATCATTCATATGAGATAGAGTTAGTTGTAGTGTTGTAATAAGAGTTTGTTTAGTTAATGTAAAATATTTACATTTTGATCAAATTTCAATACAGTTTGCAATTTCTCTGTAAAGAGTGTGGGTTTGTTATCACCTTTCACAGCAGCATTGCTGAGTTGATTAGATGAAATGAGTTTCTGCTTTGAATTTATTGTAAAAAATAACTCATAAAATAATGCTAAAAATTGTGCTGCATAATTCTTTTAGGAAAATATTTCAATATGGCAGCTGAAGTTGTTTCTTCAAAAATAGCTTTATATTATATGTATATTGCAAATATTGCATAGAAACATTTTTATTTTTATGTCATAAAAAGTCAGTGCTCCGTTTCACTTTAATATTCATTATTGAACAATTTTTGCTATATTACAATTTAAAACATTTTTAAATTTTAATAAAATGCTTATATTTTCAAACTCATTATCTTTTTAAACTATCCAGATTTCCATTCACACATTAGCTTTATAAAATCAGTCATTAACCGAAATCTCGATAGTCTTAATCCAGTAAGCACAGATCGTTTTTAAAACGTTTAAAAAACGTTAATGTTCGTTTTTATAAGTTTTTAAACGTTTTAAAAACGTCCTGTGCTTACTGGAAACAACTCTCTATTAGTTGGATATTATTTAAAACCATAAAATAAAAATAATATAATTAAATAATATAATTAGTAATAGTAATCAAAATTTTGATTTACAGATAAGCAAGTCTACAACATGTTAAAGGATGCAATAAAATTACTTGTTAATTAATTATTTTAATACTTATTATCGAGTTTTAGAAAACCTGTCACTACACTCTATTTCTGTATTGATTCGTAAACTCGATATTCTGACTTAGTGTAAAACACTATCACTACGAGGTGTGCATGTAAACACAATCGAATAAAACCATATCGTGATTTTTCTCCACATACAGCCATTGAAGCCTCAGTCATTAAAACTTATACTATGTATGTCCACGTGATTATTTTTTCTTTCTCTTATCCGTTCCTGTAAAAAAACGGATGAGTGGAAACTCGCCTTAACTTAAGCTTAAGCAAACTGAAAGTATGCACTGTGTGACTTTTTCCAGCCGCGCTTTAAGAATGCACTTTAATCCAAATCACGAATAACCTGGTGTTCGTCATTAATCATTGCTAGTAAGAAATTTTCTGGATGGGCAAAATAGCAGTTACGTTGTAATACAGGATCTCCTTTAATGCAAAAAATAGCAAAAATAATATAATTAAGTAATTTTGAAGACAAATAAATACCATTTATACAAATTCTGAGTGTGTAACTTCTGAATAAGTTTAAAAGATGTCGCGCATCATCTTTGCATGAGGTATGCATCTTAATACTAAACCAAACAGATGAATAAATACTATGGACATAAGTTACTCTGTCAGATTTGTTGATGGATCCTCACTAGCCACATACGAACTTATTTTTTGCTGTTGTCAAACTGTTGAATGTCAAATTGTTGAATGGTTTTAAAAACAATAGTTACACCCTCAGAATTTGTATAAATGATATTTATTTGTCTTCAAAAGTACTTAATTATATTATTTTTGCTAATGACACTAATATTTTCTTTTTAGATTCAAATTTAAAAAAAAAAATTCATTATGTAAATACAGAACTAATATATCTTTATGAGTGGTTTATAGCAAATAAACTTTCATTGAATACTGATAAAACTAAATATATTTTGCTTGCTAAATCTGCTTGCTAAATCCATCTAAATCTGAAAACCTTCCACCTAAACTACCAGAACTAACAATTAACAATATTAAAATAAAAAGAGTTTTTTCAATGAAAATACTTGGAATAATATTTAATGAACATTTAAATTGGAAAAGCCAAATAAAGTTAGTCGAGAATAAAGTATCAAAGACTCTGGGGGGATTATTTACAAGAAAAAATATCTTTTGAATAACATATGTTTAAAAAACTTATACTATTCATTTATACAAAGCCATATAAAATATTGTAATATTGCCTGGGAAAACAATCATTCATCTTTCCTAAAAAATGTTTATACAAAACAGAAGCAAGCAAGTTCATTAGTTTTGGGCGCAGAGGTACGAAAGTGCTGAGCCGTTACTCAAGGAAACAAATGCTCTAAACGTATATGAGCTGAATATTTGTTATTTATGTTTTACTTTAAAATGAAATAATTCCAGAATATTTTTATAAAAAAATTTCTCTGATTAATCATAAATATGAAGCAAGACACTCATTAAGTAATTACTAAATTCCACTAACATCACTAAAAAAATCTGACTTCTTAATTACATGTCGGGGACCACTCTTGCGGAACTCTGTTCTTGACGAAAATATAAAAAAAATAAAATCTATTGATAAATTTAAAAGAACTATAAAAAAACACTCACTAAGTTTAAACAAAACACACATTCTTTCATTTTTTTTTTAAAAAAAAGAATTTTATTTTAAGATATATCTTTCTTTTTTTTTTTTGTCTGTCTATTTTAATTTTGTATGAAAAATATAAATAGATGAATTTAAATCTTGGAAATGTTTTGAATCTTCTTAAATTTTAAATCTATTTTAAATATTTTAATTTATATAAATATATATTACGTATTGTATTGAATATGCATACGTATATAAACCGATTTGTAAATTTTTATATTTACGTTAAACAATACGTTATTTTTATAATCAAGTTATATTACGGTACGTATAGGTACCGATTTGTAAACTTTTAAACTTTTTTATTTTTTTTTAATTTTATTTCTATTGAACCTTTTTAGATTCACTCTTTTGTATAATATTAGAACTTGTAAAATTATATTTTTCTCTATTTCACGAAGGGGCTTGATGATAAGACATTTTGCCTTCTATTTTCCTCTGGTCAGATTGTATTTATATATATATTTATTAGATCTTAAAGATAATATTGTAAAATGTGTTGAAATTGATGAAATAAAACTAACTTAATAATAAATAAAAAAAACTCTAAAGTTTCTTTTGATAAAGCTTGTGAATACTCATTTGGATATTGCTATGCACATTTCCCTAAAAATGTTTGGAAGAGTTACATCAATCCCGGTGGGAAATGAGCTAGCGACTAGCGAGCGACTAGCTAGTTTTATAGCGATTTTCAAGCGATTTTTTTTTTCTTATTTTATTCTTTTCTAATGTCTCTAACATCTTTAAAAATTCAATTTTAAGTGTTGAGTCTATTATAATTATGAGAATAATTGAACTTTAAACATTGCAATTTTGTAGCAATGTGTCGCTAGCTGCATATCGTAGCTTTGTAGCTAGCTACAAAATATCTACGAATCTATAGCTGGTTGAGAGCTAGATACCAAAATTTTTTTAGCAATTTTACTACGATATGACGGTAGCTACAATAGCCTGTGAGTCTTTAGCTTATTAACCTAGCTGTCCTCGTAGCCAAATCGCTGTCTTTATCTTTACAAATATCAATAGCTTTTCGCTAACTTAAAAA